CGTTTGTGGAGGTGGCTTTCAGGTATGCGAGAACCTGCTGAGAAGTGGGAGAGGAGAAGGAATGTGGCAAGGAGAGCGGGCCACATTCTCGTAGGTCAAAATACGAATTAGTGGGAGTAAGGGAAGGGACAAAAATAACAGCTACCAAGAGTCGTTCCTGGAGCCTTCTTTAAATGGATTCTGGAGAGCATAGCCAACAATCTTGCTGAGATGAAGTGACGAAAATATTCATCCGGCAGCGTGCACGGAGTTTGACAATACCGAAAAGGACAGTAATTGGTCATCCAGACTGAGCGGCGAGGGCTGCCCCGATTCCTCCCGGGTGTTCTGGGTGTTCTCGACCTATTTTCCAAACAGGGTTAACGTTCTTCCGACGAGGACGTCCCATGAAAGCGCCTTTAATCCACCGTGATGGTATGCATGATACATCTGAATGATGTCGATGATTCCTGAACGAGAACCTGGAAGAGGACCTGACTGGAAGCTTGAACTTAAAGAGAAAAGGTAATAGGTGAGCCCAGGAGATTTTTAGTAGCCTAAGCACGGCGGCCTGGGCTCGTAACCATGCTCAACTAACCCATATGCAACAACGGTCTTGAATCCCCGCCGAAACTGCAGCGGTGCATTAATCGGAGTCTTCGTAAGTCAGGAACTTGGAACCTTGGCGATAAAGTCGGGAAGGTTTACTTGCGAAAGGAGGCATTATTTCTAGCATTCGATGTATACTGTAGTACTTGCTGGTTCCATACAAAACCTAATGTACTTCGAGTTCAGCGAGTAAAAATAGAACCCTAGGTTTGGACACACCTTATGTTTTATAAGCAGTTACCTACGAGCTCCTGCGAGTTCTTCCAATACACCGCTACACCGAAATATACCTCTTCCTCGTACCATTCCCCTTGCAGTTGTGCACGGTCTGAACGAAGGACACGGAAGAGGCCAGGGGATCAAGAGGTATATTTTCCCACGCTATCACTGGCGCCGAAAACATCACGAGACGTCCATACAAACATTTGGACAAGCGATTTGGCTGTCCAAATCTGTCCAAACGTTGTCTAAGGCCATAAGTACGTCCACAAATACACTGTAACGTTGCAAATACTCTACACTTCAAGTACAAGACAGCAAGTACATAGTCTAGCCAGCCACTTATGGTGACCAAGCTGGGGCTCCCTCCTCCTTGATCAACATGGCTGCCTCGGAAGCGACGTGATCGTGCATATTATAGCTGTTCATTTCATTGACTAAACATATACTTAAGTAATGACAGGCAAAGCAAACTAAAACGTATAACTTACTGGTCAATTTTCCTTCTGTAGCTGCAAGCGTCGCATCATGTGGAGTTAAGCTCGTGAAACCGATACGCTCATTGAGGTTTTCCGTCGCGCGAGCAGAAGCCGTCTGTACTCGAGTAGCTCTTGGTTTTCTGATGTTCTGGTATAGCGCAAGACCAGCCTCGACGTCTCGAGTGAATTGATATTTCGAAGAGAAGATGATCCCAAGCGCCGCTGCGTCTTCTATGGCTTGACAGGCGCCCTGAGACTGGTGTGGCATCATGGGATGTGCAGCATCGCCTAGGATACAAGCTTTCCCCTTGGACCAATGCTTTACGAGATCAAAGAAGTCGAAGAAAATGAGAATGGACACAAGGTAAGTATCGGCGTCGAATACCCACAGAATACGGTTGATGGACATACAACCTCCAAGGCATTCGATCAACGGAGTTTTTCAGAAGGTTTTGACAATCTGGATCCAACTCGTCGTACTTCCCGGCTAGGATATCCGAGACTGGGACCTCTTCGAAGACGAACCCTTCCTCGTGGTGTCTTGTGAGCTCTGTGGGCATGAAACCTAGCCGATATGAGATGTGCGCTACTACCGAGCGGAGAAACGCCTACAATAGAATGAAACGGTTTCCCCTGCAGAACATGGAGACCTGTAAGAACGATTAGCAAGCAAATCAATCGAGTAACTCATAGAACCGCACATGACAATCTTGTAGTACTTGGACCTCACCCCGTCCCGGCTTTTGCCTTCCATCCCACCCCAAAACTGACTGACGTTTCGGACGGAGCAAAGATTAGCTACGAGAGTAGAAGCCGTAGAAATTGATATACGTACATAGCTGGGTCGCATGCATAGCTAACAAGACCAAGCTTGTCGATAATGTCTCTTGGCACATTACAACGGTAGCATGTCTGTGCGGCAGACTTGATATCTGGAATAATCCCCAATTCTCTTCGCACGACAGACTAGGGAAAGATCAAGATGAGTGTGAAGGCGGTGAGAGTTTACACACCCGAATGCCATCGGCCCCCACAATCATATCTGCCTTAACGATGACGCCGTTCTTGAACGTCACGGTACCCGTTTCATAATCTACCCATTCGCAACTTCGATGGGAATAAGTAAAACACCATGTAAGTACCGGACAATTTACTTACATGTGGTCAATATGAACCGTGCAAGGCTCGCCCTCGCCTGCTATTTCTGTAGCCGCCTTCAGTAAGGTCGCATGCATATCCTGTCGGTGAAACATGTTGTACACGTTCCCCCACTCTTTCTCATAGTTAACCAGGTTGTACTGGTTCAAGATTCGTCCCGTAGACCAATCACGCATGACGAGCTTCATCTGTACATGTGTGCCGTGTGAGCTGACAGTGTTACTGAAGGGTTGGTGTTCCTCACAAGGACGACTGGCTTCATGTCTGGGATGTCCACTGCCCACTCTCGGAGCCATTGAGTGCCGTTAGCGGCGCAAGAAATGGACGCGCCGACCTCGACATCAAAAGAGCGACGTTCGTAAATACTCACTGCAAAATGATGCCTCTCATCAGTTGTCCAAATGAAATTGCTGGCAAACATACCTGCATGGCCAGCCCGACGAAGCGCGACAGCGGCAGCAAGCCCGCCAATACCGCCACCGATGACAGCGACGCGTAATTTGAGGTGGTTCGTGTTGGAATAGTGAGTAGAGGTGAAAGAGCTTGCAGAGGCCATACGATTGTATGTGGTCGGTGCGTAATGTGGGAGTCCATCGTCACTAGAGCATTTTGAAGGATTCGCTCTGTGGGTTTCGATTTCCCTATCAAGGGTAAGCTATCGTCACCTGCATGAACCTAATCCCCAATCGAACCAATGAGTATCAGAAGCGAAGACATGGGAGTTTAAGAGCCGGCCGCGAGATAAACTGTCATGGTGGTTGGAGGGAAACATCATTTTGTCGCTCAAGCGCCCAATGTTAACGCGCGTTAACGTGGGATATATTTCAAATTGCGCTATCACAAAAGCCATTCATTCCCTTGCCATGTTCAGCCAAGCAGTGATTTCAAGATAAGACCGGAATCTCTCTACTCTCGTACGTGCATGCCCGTATCGACTCTCAATGCCACCAACGTTCTATGATCCCAACTCTCCCGAAGAGCAAGAAGTACCTCTACCTTCGGCACCCCTCGTGCAACTGAGCGAGAATGTCGTCATGCAACCTCCTTTGACTCGAAGAGGTACAGGTCCAGGGATATTTGCCTTTCTACCAGCGGATAACAACCTTGGAACACGGAAATCAAGATCACTAGATCCCGAACCGATCCAGAAGTGGGCAGAAGAGGGATTCGCAGTCGTAGGCATCACCGGGGCGAGGACGAGTGCTGATGTTGACGGTGCATTGAGTAAAGGTTTAGAGGCTTTACTGGGACTCAAAGAGATGGATACTAAAGACAAGTTTGCTGTTTATGGTACGACCACTTTCAGTGTAACTAGGTACGCTGACTTGACTCGTGTCTATTACAGTCTATGATTCAAAGGTCCTCTCTATTGTTATCGAATCCATGCAAAAAGATAGCAGATTAGCTGGCCTTGTCGCAATCGCATCTGAGCCCCCCCTGAGTCCTACTCCGCCTGTTCCATCATTCATACACCTCGCAACGACCTCAGGACAACCTCAAGCATCATCATCATCACCTTCAATGACTCTTCATCGGTACACCAATGCATCTAGCAACTTCATCCTTCCTTACTCGGCCGACTACAACCCTGGTTATGCGAGTCTTGCCCACAGCCGAACGCTTGTTTTCCTGCGCAAGACACTTGGAGGCCCGATCTTCGATATTGAAGCAATCTGGGAAGAACACACCTATTTCGAGTTTGAAGTGAGAAGCGTTGCAAAAACTATGGGTACAATGGTTGCTGAGCCATATGTCAATCACGTACCCACGGTCAGTAAAGATATTTCTCTTCTCACCAATACACTGAGCTGCTCCTAGATGACCGGTGGTATAGGACGCGAAAACCTCACTGCTTTCTACAGGGACCATTTCATCTTTGCGTACGTTCTTTTTACTCGCGTTTACTTCCGCTTGTCTAACTCAAAGACAGGAATCCTCCAGATACCGAGCTTCAACTAGTGTCTAGGACAGTTGGAAGCGACCGTGTGATCGGTCCGTGCAGACTCACTCATGCACTGTCAGATTTCTCATGTTTAACAGACGAATTCATCTTCAAACTCACACACGACCGGGTCGTCGACTGGCTTCTTCCTGGCGTTCCGCCGACAGGGAAGAAACTGGAGATACCTTTCGTGGGCGTCGTTAATGTACGCGGCGACAGGCTTTATCACGGTCAGGGGCACGTAACCCTTTCATGGCTATTGTCAATACTCAGTTTCGTCTTAGAGCACATCTGGTGGGATCAAGCAAGCGCGCTACTTCAGGCAGGGGTTCTTCCTAGTCATCTTCCTTACGGTAGCGAAGGCCAGAAACTAAGGTTGCCAGTTGCGGGTAGTGAAGGGGCGAGGCTGTTAGTTGACGAGACTGACGGGAAAAGCAATGCAATGTTTGGGGCTGATTGGGGAGTTTCCAACGCTTAAGGCGGGTTGTGGTTTCAGCGAAATGGAACTCCAAGATGGGCGTGTGTCTACAGTGTTTACTATATCTGTTCAATCTGGCCTGAGGTCATTTGAACCTTTTGATATAATACCAAACATGTTGCCAATCAACCATCAAGGACTGATGGTGTAGTTGGTTATCACGTTCGTCTCACATTTCCCGATGGTGCTGAGCACGAGAGGTCCCCAGTTCGAACCTGGGTTAGTCCATATTTTTTACCTGCTCATTGAAACCTACCTCTTTGCATGAAAGCTTTTGAGGCATTCCTTGTTATCAATTAATCTAGAGTCTTTGAACAGTTTTGTTTTAATTCCATTGCCCCAGAAGTACAGTTTGCGTCACAATTACATGCTGGATCTCACAATCAACCCCTTCTACGTGATTTCATACATTCGGTGTATTACAGAGAAACTCCTCTGTAAGTGGCCATCTGGGACTTCATTCTAGCGAATTGACCAGGAGTGAACTCGGTCATGCAACTGTCGTAGGAATAATCCATGAAGTTATCTACAAAGAAACTCAACGACTCAGTAATCACGCCATGAGGGGTAAAATAAATGAAATACTAACGGATGGGGTCTCCTCCACTGCTTCCGCAAGTGTTGCGACCAACAGGACAGCCAGAAGCAGGGCTCGCCTCGGGGTTAGTGTCATCGACGGAGTCTCCGGGAGCTCTGCAACCTCCCTGGAAAGTGTGGTAGAGACCAACCCAGTGTCCGGCTTCGTGAGTTAAAGTCTATTTAGATGATCAGAAAACACGCTTTGGGAATAGTAGAAAAAAAGCATTACTTGGCCAAGGTTGTAGTTTGTGGTAGTACCGCCCGGAGTCGACGAGAACAACATAACGACGCCATCATCAGTGGGGTTGCCAGAGTACGAAGAGGGGAAAGTAGCGTAGCCGAGCAGGCCAGCACCGCTTCCAGAGGTGAAGCTAGAAGTGGGAATTAGTATCCCAGATATTAGCTGTAAACGTCCGGGCTCACCCAACCGTGTAAACGTTCAGGTCAGCGACACCTCCTTGACGAAGCGCACGCTTCATAGCTGTTTGTTGAGAGCTGTCAGGGCCAGCACGGGCGAACCAATCGGAGTTCACGGTTCTGGTCGTGCCCCCAAGTCTCCAAGTAATTCCACTACCGCTGAAAGCCTCGTTCATGACGGTGATCTGGTCCGCAATCTGGGAGTCGGGTACGTTCCCACCAGCGACGGAGCTATCCCTGGAGACGACATGGAAATAGATGTTCAAGGTAGCAGCGAGGGGTGCCAATGATGAGGGTTCAACTTTGTTGGCAGCAAAGTGGGCCTCTGCAGCCATAAGCTCGTCATCGCTGATAAAGGTACCACAAGCTCTGTGACTATTGTTAGCTACGGTATTTTAGGAGTAGACTGGAATGTGTCACCTTGGGACGATGTCTGTGTCGGTGACGTTGACCAAGCCAGCTAACGGGTGACCGAAAGCAGCGGTGAAGAGTAGAGAGACGGCGACCGAGGCAGAGAAGAGCATTGTCGTGCTACCAGAGGAATGACTGAGCAGTGAAGAGCCACATATTTTATCGACCTCTTTTAAGCGTTACGGCCAGTAAGAAACAGTGTGCTCTTATCGGAGAGTAGCATTCCAAGAGCTGCCCTATCCATGCGTCTAAATCTTGCACGGAGATCCCGGACCATAAGGTTGTCTCGAGGAAGGGAAACAACATTAAAATTCATCCCATCGGGAACTGTCAATGTTAGATAAGGTCCCATGCAGCCTCATCGTATGGGATGTGTTAGTTGTTGTCAAGGTCTCGTTGGCGGTAGAAAAATAGTTTCTTCACTCTTCCAAACATACACAAACACTCTGACTCGCTCTGCCAACCTTTCATTCACCAAGGCAACTCGCACAATACTGGCTCACAGCCTGTTCTTTATCTCCCATTCTGTACGAATCGATATCTCCTGTCTCTATCTTTTCGTGACAAGCAAAATTCTCAGCACTAGATGCGCATTTTCGAAGCGTTCAATCTCGAAGTCATGATGCCAAGTCATAGTATATCAAGGCCGTAGTAATCCACTGTCCTAGAGTACACATGCAAAAGGCATTATGGCGGCAAGGTACAATCTGCAGAAACAGCAGAGCTCGCGGCAAGCCAACGGTTCCATCTGGAATAGTCAATCACTTCCACATGGTCACTGGTAGACTTTTGGCTACCAGTAATGTATAGCCGTCATCATGTGAATGACGAACATTGCCTATGTCGGGACAGAGCCTGGCACAGATTTTGAAGACATGTGTGTCGATAACAAACGGGTGCCTTCTATTAGCGGTGATTGGTATATGCAGATAACGGTCTCGGAGTCTCTTGAGGCCCAAAACCGGCCTGTAAAGACACGGTAGCACAGATTGAATTATGGGCCATAGCAAAAGTTCTAGTTATCACAACCGTCATCTCCTCGGGGACGTAGTTGCTCGAGCGAAGCCTAGGGTACGTTATGTTCAGCTTAATCATTGCATGTACAGACCGATGGAAGTATAAAACAATGTCTATGCCACATCAACACCGGCAGTCTGAATCCTAGATTCCTTCGCTTGCTCAATCTCGGCAAGGCGAGCTTCGCGAACTTGCTGTTAAAGCGACAAAATCATCAGGAACGAAGGGTATCAGTGGTGAGCTTTGAACGCACCTTATTTGCTGCCTGGGATTCTAGCAGAGCGTCGACTTCAGCTTTCCTCGCGTCAACCTGTTGCTGAAGACGAACGCTGTGTTGCTTTTCAGCCTATAACGCGTTGTGAGCATATCCACATCGCAACACTCAATACTCACCTCGATGTCCCTCTCGGCAGCGGATACATTTCCTACAGCAATATCGTGGTGATGTGTTGCTTTGTTGAGCGCCTTGACAGCGGCGTCTTCCTTCTTGACAGCCTTATGAAGCGCATGGGTCGATTTGTCGACTGCCTGAAGAAACCATGGTCGACGATGATCATCAGAATGCAACTACAGAACTTACTTACCTTCTCAGCTTTCGCTGCCGACTTTTCGACATGGGCGAGGTCCTTCATGGCATGCTTGAGGGTAGAGTCCTCAGATTTGGCTTCTTGTGTGATCTGCTTCTCAAGCTTCTTAAGGGCGGAAGGGGAAGTTGGTAAAGGCGTTGACATGTTTGTGATGGTGAGTCGAGGTAGTGGTGGGTGGTTGGTGGTGGTGGTCAGGATCTCCTCAGCTGAGAGCCACGATATAAATGTCGCGATTCGACGTCGCAGACAGAGTGACGTCAAGACGATGAGTTGGATCGAGGATTGTCTTATTCGCCTCCTTTTCTGTCATTGGCTATGAAGTGAGACACCTCGGCTAGTAAAGTGGCCACGATGATGAATGGGAGACGTCGATGGCGCTGGGATCAATGGGCATCGTGTCCTTCATGATAATGGCCTCGCCCACTCTCGCCTACGTCGTTTCTTGTACCCAAATCTGCGTCGTGTCCTCGTAGCGGTGGATCTGCGCAATGCAAGTCGAGTCCATTTCGCGACTGTGCAGGTTGCCTCTGGGCGCTAAGTAGGGGCAAATCACGATGTACGCATAGAACGTGTTTGCAATGACAAAAAAGGTGCCGGCCAGAGCCAGAATGCGAGGTACATGTTGTATACGTGTTTCCCAGGTGTCGTATCCCACCACATAGTGCTTCCAGCAACTAGAAGTGCATGCTTGGGCTCGATCGAATCAGATGTATTTGAAGCTGAATGCAAGAACCTTATTTGCTGCACATTGTGGAAGCAGTCCCCGAAAACATTCAGCAACATCCTGTTCCCCGTCAGCTAACATTCCACCTCCGTGATGGCTCGTCCAAAGCAAACCCCGCACGGTAACGACTATCATCAACTCTCTGATGACGGGAAAAGTATCTCCGGCCAATATCATGTCCGCACTATGCCAGCTTCTGTGTTCCAACGCTATATCGATTCCGTGCGAGCTGTTGTCGATCGCCACGTATAATTCCAGCCGTTGCAGCATCTGACCTGAAAGAGTGGATACGAACAGATTGATTGGGATCAAGGAGTAGGGACAACCGTGATGGATGGAGTACTTGAAAAGGAATAGTGAATGTATTTTGAGTTCTTCGAGACAGACCATCCTGGCAAGCACGCGGCTTGCTACAAGGTGCTCTAGATAAACTTAGTTTTGGTGGTGGTATGAAAGTGCATTGGACGAGATTACCAATTGACGGCCGAATCTCCTTCCTCCCTTTCACCTGAACCCCGAATATGGCAAATTCATCGAATGACCCAGCCTTGAGAGTGAACTGGGTCAGCAATGATCCACAACATTGGAGGTAGCGTGCCAAAGCACGGAGAGCGGCGTCATCCATCCCTTCTAAACCGAGCGTTAGGTTCCTCAACTTGACAGAACCAGCAGAGAGCCAGTTCCAGAACACATCGTGAGGAAACCCGGTGGGATTTTCAGGATTTTGTGTCAGGTCCAAAGTGTCGAGGAGCAGCGGGGGTTGTCGAAGACTGTATTCCGGTGCCGATATACCGGCTTCCCCATATCGTAACGGAAACGATCTAAGTGAGGCAACCTGGGGCTCCATCCTCAGTCTTTGCAACGCCGGGAACCCCGAAACGATATTCAGGATTGAAAGTGTGTCATCAATGGAGTTGAATGGGACATGATATAGGCATAAGTCAACCACTTTCTTCTTGAATTGATTGACACCTTGATCATGCACCTCCTCCGCAAACAGCTGCTTCCAGGCGTTTGAATTCAGGGTTTGGCTATCAATATATGAAAAGCGAAGACTATCGGCGGACGTCCACTTGGGTAGGTGCTGAAAGATGGGCTTTAACCACTCCGCATGGGATGGCCGTGATGCTTCTCCCAGTATATGAAGTGTCCCTGAGATGTGTACGAGCCGGACGTATGGATGAATGGAACAGTGTTTGTTGTCGAGGAGGATGAGAAGTTGCCGATGTCGTTTCTTGCTCTGTTCCCATCGCTCGGGAGCTTGAATCCAAAGAGAGTGGAATAAGCGTCGTCGTGTCGGTGGTACCCATTGACGCCCGAGTAGGGCCAGACGAGCAACACTTTCTTCTCGATCCAGACACACGAATTCAACTACTTGATCAATCAACTCCTCGAATAAAGTCTGCAAAGAATATCAGATATATTGACCAGGAAATGCATTAGACAGGCTTACGACCATTGGCATTGGTAAGATTGGTGGTGGGAGTAAGAGA